TTCACAGGATTTTCCAAAAATAATAGATTTTGTTCAAAATCTCAGGAAAGGTAATTCTGAACATGCTGATAAGGATCTGTTAACCAAAATTTGATATCTGGATTATTACTTGTTCAAATGGCTTTTAGAATATTGTAATTAATTTTGCAAGTCGTTTGAATTTTTTTTTAATTATTTTTTTTTTTTGTAATATTTTTTTTCCTGAAAAGTAGATAGATTTTCATTTTCGAAAGTAGATTTTCTATTTTCGGGAAAGTAGATTATCGACTTTTCGAGGAAGTAGACTTTCGAATTTTGGGGGAAATATTACCTAATTTTGCGAAGTAGATTATCATAGAAAACGGAAATTTGTATCATAAGAAATGGGAAATATCTACTTTCCGAAAGTTGGTTATCTACTTTCCCGAAAAGTAGATAGATTTTCTACTTAGGAAAGTAGATTATCGACTTTTCGGGGAGTAGATTTTCGAATTTTGGGGAAAATATTACCTAATTTTTATGAAGTAGATTATCATAGAAAACGGAAATTTGTATCATAAAAATGGGAAATATCTACTTTCCGAAAGGAGTTATTTTTCTCCCGGAAAAGTAGATAGATTTTCACTTTTCGAAAGTAGATTATCGACTTTTCGAGGAAGTAGGATTTTTGAATTTTGGGGAAATATTACCTAATTTTATGAAGTAGATTATCATAGAAACGGGAAATTTGTATCATAAAAATGGGAAATATCTACTTTCCGGGAAAGTTGGTTATTTATTTCCTGAAAAGTAGATAGATTTTCTACTTTTCGGGAGAGTAGATTATCGACTTTTCGGAGTGGATTTCGAATTTGCGAAATATTACCTAATTTTGCGAAGTAGATTATCATAGAAAACGGAAATTTGTATCATAAAAAATGAAATATCTACTTTCCGTTATTATCTACTTTCCGGAAAAGTAGATATTTTCTTCTTCCCAAGTGATTTTCTGGGTTTGTATCATAAAAATGGGAAATATCTACTCTCCGGAGTCTACTCTCCTGAAAAGCAGATTGGAAAATTTTTAGTAGGAAATTTGTATCATAAAAATGGAAATATCTACTTTCCGAAAGTTGGTTATTTACTTTCCTGAAAGTAGATAGATTTTTCATTGAAAGTAGATTATCGACTTTTCGGAGAAGTAGATATTTCCATTTTTTATGACAAATTTCCGTTTTCTATGATAATCTACTTCGCAAAATTAGTAATATTTCAAAATTGGAAAAATCTACTTCCCGAAAAGTCGATAATCTACTTTCCTGAAAAGTATCTGGGAAAGTAGATATCAACTTTCCTGGAAAGTAGATATTTCACATTTTTATGATACAAATTTCTGTTTTCTATGATAATCTACTTCTGCAAAAATTAGGTAATATTTCAAATTCGAAAATCTACTTCCGAAAAGTCGATAATCTACTTTCCTGAAAGTAGAAAATCTATCTACTTTTCGAAAGTAGATAACCAACTTTCCCGGAAAGTAGATATTTCCCATTTTTTGGATACAAATTTCGTTTTCTATGATAATCTACTGCAAAATTAGGTAATATTTCCAAATTGAAAATCTACTTCTCGAAAAGTCGATAATCTACTTTCCCGAAAGTAGAAATTTATCTACTTTTCGGGAAAGTAGATAACCAACTTCCGAAAGTAGATATTTCCATTTTTATGATACAAATTTCTGTTTTATGATAATCTACTGCAAAATTAGGTAATATTTCCAAAATTCGAAAAATCTACTTCCCGAAAAGTCGATAATCTATTTTCCGAAAGAGAAACTATCTACTTTTCGAAAGTAGATAACCAACTTTCCCGGAAAGTAGATATTTCCCATTTTTATGATACAAATTTCCGTTTTCATGATAATCTACTTCGCAAAATTAGGTAATATTTCCAAAATTCGAAAATCTACTTGAAAGTCGATAATCTACTTTCCCGAAAAGTAGAAAATCTATCTACTTCGGAAAGTAGATAACCAACTTTCCCGGAAAGTAGATATTTCATTTTTTATGATACAAATTTCCCGTTTCTATGATAATCTACTTCGCAAAATTAGGTAATATTTCCCTAACGGAAAATCTACTTCGAAAAGTCGATAATCTACTTTCCCGAAAAGTAGAAAATCTATTCACTTTTCGGAAAGTAGATAACCAACTTTCCCAGAAAGTAGATATTTCCATTTTATGATACAAATTTCCCGTTTCTATGATAATCTACTTAAAATTAGGTAATATTTCAATTCGAAAATCTATCGAAAAAGTCGATAATCTACTTTCCCGAAAGTAGTAAATCTATCTACTTTTCGGGAAAGTAGATAACCAACTTCGGAAAGTAGATATTTCATTTTTATGATACAAATTTCCCGTTTATGATAATCTACTTCGCAAAATTAGGTAATATTTCAAAATTCGAAAATCTACTGTCTAGAAAGTCGATAACTCTTTTCCCGAAAAGTAGAAAATCTATTCACTTCGAAAGTAGATAACCAACTTTCCCGGAAAGTAGATATTTCCCATTTTTATGATACAAATTTCCCGTTTTCTATGATAATCTACTTCGCAAAATTAGGTAATATTTCCCAAAATCGAAAATTTACTTCCCGAAAAGTCGATAATCTACTTTCCCGAAAAGTAGAAAATCTATCTACTTTTCGAAAGTAGATAACCAACTTTCCGGAAAGTAGATATTTCCCATTTTTATGATACAAATTTCCTGTTTTGCGATAATCTACGCAAAATTAGGTAATATTTCCCAAATTCGAAAAATCTACTTCAAGTCGATAATTTTCCCGAAAAGTAGAAAATCTATCTACTTTTCGGGAAAGTAGATAAACAACTTTCCCAGAAAGTAGATATTTCCCATTTTTATGATACAAATTTCCGTTTCTATGATAATCTACTTCGCAAAATTAGGTAATATTTCCAAAATTCGAAAATCTACTTCCCGAAAAGTCGATATCTATTTTCCGAAAAGTAGAAAATCTATCTACTTTTCGGGAAAAAAATATTAAAAAAAAAATTATTAAAAAAAAAAAAATAAACAATAATTACAAAAAAATTAAACGACTTGCAAAATTAATTATCATTCTAGGCTTCATTTATCATTTGTTAATATATTCAGGAGTACCTTTCCTGAGATTTTGAATAAAATCTATTTTTTGGCCAAAAATCCTGTAAGGGGTAAGCCTTACAATTTTTGGCATTTCGTCCAATAAATAGATTTTGATCAAAATCGCAGTATAGGTACTCCTGAACATGCTGATTAAGGATCTGTTAACCAAAATTTGATATATGGATTATTGCTTGTTCAAATGATTTTTAGAGTATTATTATTACTTTTGGAATGCTAATTACTCGCCACTTATGGGTTTTCGAGGTCATTTCTTGGTGCTTGTGTATTATTCTGGATGTACTTAAATAGTTAGGCACATTAAATTTTAGTTCAGAGAAAAAAAGTATATTTGGCCAAAAATCCTTTAAGGCATAAGACTTACAATTTTTGTCATTTTCGGCCAAAAAATGGATTTTGTTCAAAATTTCAGTATAGGTACTCCTGAATGTGCTGCTTAAGGATCTGTTAACCAAAATTTGATATCTTGATTATAACTTGTTCAAATGGCTTTTAGAAAATGTTCAAATGATTTTTAGAATATTTTAATTACTTTTGCAATGCTAATTACTCGCCACTTATGGGTTTTCGAGGTCATTTCTTGGTGCTTGTGTATTATTCTGGATGTACTTAAATAGTTAGGCTATGATGCTCGTTTCGATTGGGGCGTAATTAGTGCCTTAATGACCCTTTGATTATTTTATGACTTTTTCAATGCTTAGGACATTTTCAATGCTAATTACTAGCCAACTATGGGTTTCCCAGGTAAGGTTTTGGTGTTTTTGTGTTCTTCTGGAAGTAATTAATTGGTTAAACCATTGTTTCCACTAGATAATGCGTTATTAAATGACTATGTGGTCGATAAGGGTGATGTAAGCCCCCCAGTATCGTAGAAAACGCTGACTATTGACCCCAACTTTCCTATCAGTGACAAAGTTGTATACTAAAATTCACTACGTTTTGTAATACCATTTTCAAGTTATTAAACAGAAACAATTGTCTGTGAAACTATGGCCATTACTGGTGGCTATAAAACAATAAATCAAATAATATAACTCAGCTTATATATAAATCTTAGCTCAATTCCATAAAGCTTCTCTCAGATACGTGATAAGAGTAACATGAACTTGCTACTATTACATTTAACTCCCAGACCACTGCCGAATACACAGATGAAGGACGCATAAAAATAAAATTGAGACCGACTTAAGAATGAAGTTTGTATTTATTTTGCAGAGGATTTTAAGGTACAGAAGAAGATCAACAGACATCACAGAGTTTATTTCTTCACATATATAATATCTGATTATCTTTACAACATATTGGTGATCTTCCACACAGGAGAAACACACATTCTCTGTCATTCACGTGTAGACACTCCTTAGAACCACACAGCTTTACACTCTTATCACTATATAACAAGCTAGTTGCATTCTACAGTGTATAATTATGAAGTTCAAAGGCACTGTAGATAATGAAGTTGTACAGAGGCTCCTGAAATAATAAATACAAGATTAATACAACAGTAGTCAGTGCATGAACCTGGGTCCTGGATACACCACACAGTGTGACCAGCACTGCATTTGTTTACCCTCACTTCATTAACCATAAATCTGGTTACCCAATCATAACTAGGTCGACTGGAGGTGACTCAGGAGCAAACCAACGATACTTAAGGCAGGATGCGAGCGTTGGGTCTACTCAGCCACTGTACTCCAACTCCAGAAGTAAAATGTTAGAATTTAGGAGTTATTTATAAAGTTTTGCCATAAGACCAATAAAACAGACTGGCAGCTGACTCTGTCTACTATATGCTGTTAGGGTGGACGTGATTAATAAGTATTAAAGCTTAAATATTAATTTCCTACTCTCACAATAACTGTGTTGAGGCTGTGTACGGAGATATTTTGTCTGTATAACACTAGAAGGAAGTAGAGACATATATCCCGACCTCCGGAACATTATAATAGTATACAGTATATAAATTAATGTATACATCTTCTGATTTACACATTTATAAAACAAACTAAACACTTACCACCAGACGTACAGGGAGGAAGGGCCAACATAGTCCACTCTCCTTCCTCTAGACAAGTGTTGTTTGCTGTAGTCTCTCCTCCTAAGAAGGTCCCATTACAAGTGTAGACGATAAGTGTGCCCCAGGTGGACCCTCCAGTGTAGTTATAGGACGTTTGGTTCCAGGGTATAAGTGGGGGACTCATACACGCTGCAACATCATACATACACATCATTAATACACCCACCTTTCATACATATCATTAGTCCCCATTACATCTGAAACTCTAAATATAATACAAGAATTCGTATTGAATATTAAACAATTTCACTACTTGGTGTTTGATGTCTTATTACTCTCCTGATATCTCTTTAAAAACATTCCTCCATCTCTTTTTAACGTTTTCTTCTTACTTCTCTCCCTTGTACCTCACTTTACTATAGATCATCTTTATTATACTCTCGACCGTCATCTGTTCACTGGTCCACATCACCTCACTGTTTCAAGTCAAGTCTTTGTCTGTCCATAAATTTCCTTACCTCATAAATATTGATCAAACTTCCATTCTTCAGCTTAACATTTGTTTATCTTATATACACTCAAATAAATCATCCACTTTGACTGCCTTCACTGATCTGCCTTCTGATAACTTAAAATTCCACATCATTATAAAAAAGATTACATGAAGCAGTTTAAATACAAGGTTCTTTTGATAACTAAATGCTAAAAAAGGTAGACCAAATCACGTTCGTTGATAGAGTATAACAATAACAAGAGGAAGAACACAGTATACTAACAGTTATAGCAGCCAAAGTCAGGATCCAATGTAGTCCAGCCAGTTGGGGTACGACTGATGGTATTGGAGTTCTCACCAGAGGGAGACAACTGACCAGGTCCACACGTGTAGGTAATATTACACTCTTCTGGGTACGGTGGTAGTGTCATGTTGTATATGTTAGCGGGTGTCATCGGTAACGCTGGAAGATCAGCTAAAAAAAATCACACAATTAAAAATATACGAACAGTTTTTTTTTATATCATGGAACTTTTAGATTTAATATAAGATTTTTTTTTGCCAGGTGTTAAAAAACCCCGAAAGAAGTCAAGTGCCTCTCCGTAGACATAACTTTAGATAATATTGTCAATTAGTACCAGCGACAACATCACTGAGTCGATGGTTCTTTTTCAGACAGTTATCCTTCGGCTCGACGCCACATACTAATATAATGTTATAGCCAGCACTCACACACACTCACACACACACACCACTAACAGGAAGTTATAATGGTTACTTCTAAGACACATTATTCCATAGACATTTATACCGGAATACTTTACCATAAAAATGATAATCCCAAAATTGCTATTATATGCATAATGTTAAGAGGTAAAGAAAACAGCATAAATGTGTAAAAATAAGAGGAAGCGACTGACCTATTTGTAGTGTACTTCTGATTAGTTCAATTACCCTTCATTAAGCCGAGCTAACACACTGAGTACTGTACTGGGTACGAGCCTTACTATAGCACGGTGGCATATATGGTGGAGTCCAGTTTCCAGCTTCACAAACGCTCGTACGTAGTGTGATGTACTCAAAAAACAGACTGCCATGAGTACAAGTGTATGTGACGACCGTTCCCCAGAATGGTATACCAGTAAAGTTGTTCTTGACATTAGCAAGAGCCGCTGGTGGAGGCGACGTACAAACTGTGGAAAAAAGAGATGAAAACGTCCATTTATTGTGTGACTTTGTCGTATTCTGACATATCTCTGTGTTTCATGGTTGATAAAGTTGATACATCCATTAGCATTTTAGTGGATAATGATGCTGTTAGACGTGAATTATTGTAGATGTAGTGAATCATATCTTTATAGTAGAGAGTAAAGAGCAGTAACATAGGACTGTGGTTAGTGTAGATCATGGAGGTATAGGGAGAAGATTGGGTCGAGGCTTTTCTGATCATGTGACAGTGCAGTACCGGAAGGCCAAGTGTGTGTGTGTGTGTGTGTGTGTGGAAAACAACTCGTTCACGTACTATTGTGACAAGCAAATTCGGGGTCCAGTAATGTCCAGCCAATGGGTCTACACTCGATGATGAAGTACCTGACACCTGTTGGGGACATCTGGTCTTCTCTACAAGTGTAATTTATAATAGAGTGAACCCAGAAGTTGGCGTCTTTACTCTCCAGTGTGGCGCCATACGGTGTGGGTGGTGGGGGCGCGGGGGCGGCTGGGGGAGAAACAGAGCACTGAGATGTATAACTTATGTATAATTTACTTGGTTTTTCTCTTTATCGAAGGTGATTATATAAAATTTTGAATGAATAAAATTAATAATATCTAATGACTGATGGCCACACAGGTCTCTGAGTTGTGGCACTGATCTAGAAACACAACTACTTTGGCTTGTGGGCTATATAGAGATATTATTGATCCTGATGTTGAGTTGTAATATAATTTTAACTGAATAACTGAGATTTTTTTCTTTTATTAGCTCAACCGATGGAGTGTTATCATGATGAGTAAATCTTACGACTTCTACACTGCAGGATGTCTGGGTCAGCAGTAGTCCAGTTACCATCTTCCTTGCAGGTCACCACGTATGTCTGCTCCATGTTCCCCATCAGTAAATTCTGTAGACACGTGTACACTACCTGCAGGCAAGACTAAATATGTAGGACTTTTCACACATAACATTACATACAATAGAATTCCCCTTTTTATGAACTTAATCCACTGGGTTAAAGTATGCTGTAAAAGTGTTCACGAACCTACGAGATCTATAGCGCTACAACACCTCCTGGAAGGGCGTTGATAGTGTTTTCGTTGCAAGTTGCCCCTTACTGCAGAGATAATTGCAACCCTCATAATTAGGTGCAGTTACTAGCCTTGTTACGCGCTTTAATATCATAGTTGTTGAGCCTCAGTAATACATGATAACCACGTGTAAAATATAACAGAAAACTGATGGTTGATTCAGCTTCCAGGTCAGAGCAGTGACGTAACATAGCAACGAGTGTATAAGATATATGAGTGTAGCGAACCCTGACTCCTCACCCAGACACACAGAGCTTCACCGTATTACCTTGACTTAAAAGGTATTGAAGTGTCTGGGTGAAGAGCTACAGCGTCAACAATTTCGTTATTCTTTTGAACACTGCGTCATGATGGTGAACTATCGTGACACCTGGCAGCTGCACCATGAGGTGATTAGTTGCTGGGATCTCACAGGTAACTCACCCAGGCACGTAGACCATAAATAGCGTCTCCTTTTTTTTTGTTACTTAAAATACTAATCATGAATAACCAAACTATATGCATTAGGTAAATAACAACTATATCTAGGAGTGTTCAATTTCATAACAGGAAAAACTCAAGAACATTGTGTGTGTGTGTGAACAAGTGTCTAAATACACACGTAATATGTTAAGTATGAATACCTGTGTTCCAGCTCTTCTGTCATAATTCTCCCATGATCTGTAGGTAAAGCTGGGGACTCTGGGAGGGTTTCCTAGACACACTGGGAAAAGAAAAGAGTAACGATCATTCTCACACCAGTTATTAGACCTGGCGGAGGGTATATTGGTTGATATATTGTAACATGATTCACAATTTATATAAGAGCGTAGGATAGGTTTAAATAGACCCTAGTCATGATCTTAAGACCATGGTAACATAATCCACACCATCCATCAGGTTCAGTACTTACATATGAAGCACAAAGGCTCCGGTACACTGTAGGACACCCACACTCCTCCAGGTACACACTCCACGACTGTGTTATTCCTTAGTGTCGGGTACAGCTGAGAGAGAAACATTCTTTTATGTTGACAGTGCAAGATTTATTATTATTATTATTATTATTATTGTTATTATTATTATTATTATTATTATTATTATTATTATTATTATTATTATTATTATTATTATTTTTTTTTTTTTTTTTTATTATTATTATTATTATTATTATTATTATTATTATTATTATTATTATTATTATTATTATTATTATTCATTATTCACTTACGGGAGTTACCGGGAAGTAGTATCCGTCAGCACACGTGTAAGTAATTTTCGTGCCCACAGCTATTGAGGAGAAGCTGTGTAGGATGGTGTTGTTGTTGTGTGGGGGGTCGGCGAGGCAGGCTGTTGGACGGACACACACACACACACACACACACACACACACACATAAAAGGATTATTAAGGTATCAAATATGTCATTACTGATTAAATATAAATAATGTATAGTACTTTGTATAGACATTTATAACTGTTTGAATATACATAGTTATATGATGAGCATTATACACAGGTAACAATGAAAGATACGAAATTTATAAACCATTTTGTCCTATGTACTTGCTTAATGACTTTACCTGCTGAAGTAAATGAATATATAATGACAGTAATTAGCGTCAGGTATGTCTTAATATATCTCACTTAATTTAGCATTGTTAACGATCACCTAACCTAACCTAACCAAACTTAACCTCATATATAGGTAAATAAATTACACGCATTACAAAGTACACAAAAAGTGACTCCCTCAATAATGATAGGCAGACCCACATGTAATATCCTTCACAAACTCCTATGTTAAAAGTGGATGATGATCTTTACTGTTTGAAAATATGTAAAAATGACTGGTAATTAAACTGTTCTGAGAATATTGTGATACAGTCAGTCTTCATGAGATTAAATCAACAGATAGAAAATATTATTTAAAACAGACCTTCGTAACAGAGGTCAGGTGTAGTCCAGCCTGTCTCAGTACAAGTGACGACCCCTGTGTTGTTTTCCACCTCAATAATGTAACCCTCAACACACGTAAAGGTCACAGTCATACCCACTTTCCACATCACCGTGTTTGTCCAATTCACTACAGCATTTGTTACTACTGGTTCAGCGACGCACACTGTTGAAAAAAAAAAGAGAAATGTATTGTAAATCATTTCAGTTTTATGCAGTTCTGTACAAACGCGTGTTTCACTAACGCTACAGGCAAAGCAAGTTAGTGACACAAAACAAATCATTTTTATTTGTATACCAAATTACTGGTTTGTGTTGCAGTGGTTATAATGCTTTACAACAATATGCTAATTACCTGCGCCACTAATAGTTATGACCTTTTTAAACTATGACCATCCGTTAGTTAACTGTCTCCTGAAACTATAAAATCACACATAATCACGTATACTTTGGTCCCACAACAGAGGAAACTTCTAGAGAATTTATCCCTTCTGACGAGTATATAACTGTAGTATCATCCAGTCAAGACTATAAGAAATTAGTACTTTCTGCTATGATGGAAAGGTAACATTACTGTATCTAAATAATGGACAATGTCTCTTGTTACGCACCTTTGTAGCAGACGTCATCTGTTCTCCAACCTGTCAAGCTACAATTGATGACTCCAGTGTTACTACCAGCGTCAGTAAGGAAACTCTCAATACACGTAAATAACACAGTCATGCCTTCTGTCCATGTCTCTGTGTTTACCCATACTGTTGTGGCATTTGCTATCGTTGGTTCCTGAGCACAAGCTGTTAATGATATAAAAAAAATCTATTAGAAAAAAAACATTCTCAATGTGTACAAGCTCAATAGAATTTCACATTTAGGTTTATAGAAGTGTCCATTACAAAATTTCTTATAAATCTGTTACAATGATACCACAAGGAAATTAATTCGGTGACAAACATATTTACAGACGGTGACACTTAAAGATGAGGATTACTCTTTTGAACAGAATATTGTACATGAATATATAACTCATAAAACAAACTAAATATTTACGAAGCATGTGTAGCTGAACTGATCGTTGCTAAAACATACTCAAAGATGTATGGCACATTTCCTCGGCTTATATCTGTATAATGTATCTATGTTATTTAATTGACTCTTGAACAAAGTAAATCTAAATATTCTTCATTATACTTTTTGTTTATTATAATTTATTGTGTAAATTTTGTGTTTGGTCACCTGGAAGACACAATCCAAAGCTCTTTATTCTAACCCCTCCCAACTCCCCTCCCCCACACTCCTGTCTGGTAACACTGTGTTGGTGATGCTGCTCTGTTAGACACTGGCACTTGACACACCTTCGTAACATTCGTCGCGTGTTGTCCAGCCAGTAGTGTTGCAGGTCAGGACTCCCGTGGTGTTGTCAGGGTCCGTGATGTAACCGTCAACACAAGTAAACACTAGCGTCATGCCTTCCTTCCATATCACTGTGTTGCTCCATGCTGTTGAGGCGTTAGCTACTATCGGCTCTCCAGCACATCCTAATTAAAAAGGAGAAATATTTTACATAATATTTTAATGATATTTATGCTTATACACAGAAAATATAACTTTTTAATCAACCATATAATATTACAATGATATAATAAGAGCATAATAACATATGTGAGACCTTCATAGCACGCGTCGGGTGTTGTCCAGCCAGTGTTGGTACAAGTGAAGACTCCAGTGTTGGTGTTAACGCCAGTGCTGTAACCCGCGGTACATGTAAACATTACTGTCATGTGTACTGTCCATGTTATTGACGGCTTCCAATCTGCTACAGCATTCTCAGCCATTGGTTCCTCACTACAGACTGTTTAGAAAATGAAGAATAGGTTAAAAAATCATTCCCAATTTTTATTACCATGCGAAATATTTACATCCTGTTTAATAGAGTGAAAAGTGGGTCTCATAGGCCTGGTGACCTGGTAGAGGCACTGAGCTTCGGTACATATGGAGGCAACAGGGCGAGAGCACTGCACTCAATCGTCTTCCTTTCCTCAGTTGTAAGCTGAGGTACAGTACATACTCACAGCTGGGTCGACTGAGTCCGAGAGTGGACCAGCGAACACTTAGGACGGGAGGCAAGGGTGGTATCAACTCGGCTTACTGAAGGAACCCAATGTATAATTCTCCAAAAGCACAATGTTAGAGAGAGCAGAACCAGATACTGTAGCATAAAGGTGGATCCACACCAACACAACATTGTCGGTAACATGTGTTGGCAAGAATGTTGTGAAAACTACACAAAATGTTTGCAACGTTAGTGTTGGCAACATTATCACCAACATAAATATGTCAAGTTAACTGTCTGGTGAGAGCTATGTGATTTTTCACCTTTCTTTCCAACAATGTTGGCATCTTTTATCCAACAGGTTGACGACAATGTTACCAACATTGTGGCATCGGTGTGGCTGTACCTTAATGATATATTTTCAATGCTAAATTGCTAAGTACTCGCCAACTATGTGTTTCCCAGGTGCGATTTTTGTGTTTTTGTGTTATTGTGGAAGTCCTTAATTAGTTAAACCCCTTAATTTCCAGTTCTGAGAAGAAAGTATATTTCGGTCGAAAAATTACTAAGATATAAACAAGTCATATATTTTCGGCACTTTTGGCCGAGTCTATGGTCCAGGGGTCGACTGTGGGGTAACTAGTGGTTGTTGTGACGCTTGGAAGAATTTAAGATGCACACACAAATAGTTCCCCATGAGGTACACATTTGATTATAAAAAACATGAAAGTAGTTCACTCATACACACTATACGACGAAATATGAAGACCACTATAAACAGATAACTCATACACAATCAATAATAACTAATTTATCTAACAACAGTAAACCTACAAATGAGGGAGAGAGAGGGGGGTGCTGGTGGTGGAGGAGACATTGTGCTGGGATATAAAATGGCCACTAAAATTTACTAAGACAAGAAGAAAACTTACTCAAGAAACTCCTCATTCAATAACCATTTAATAACATTACTACAGGTGCTACAACGAGATAGTTTTATTTACCTGTTGAATAATTAACGTTACATACCATCACACGGAGAGACAACCCCTGGGACAAAGGCGTATCTTCTTCTTGTATAGAGACAAGTTAGTGTCTGTACCGTATCTCCGGCCATTGTAGTCATCAACTCTGGGCAGGTGTAGTTCACTGTGCCGTTGATATACTGAGACTTTGCCTCTTGGGTTACATTGATGTGTTGTGGGACTGTGATGTTCTTCAGCAGACATACTAACAGGTGAGACGACAGGTGATAGCAACCAGTCAATGTGTGTGTGAGAGAGAGAGAGAGAGAGAGAGAGAGAGAGAGAGAGAGAGAGAGAGAGAGAGAGAGAGAGAGATTTTGGGATATTTGTGTAGTAGACATCATTTCAACGTATTTCATATATTAAAAATTAGAGTCAGGCTCACTATACTGTAAAAGGTGTATAGTATATTAATTTTCATGTAACTATAGCAGTACAATACAACAATTATCTATATGTCGCCAAACGGTCTACAGTGTTTTAAGGTTTATTTTGACGATTACTCTTAAAACTGATAACATATGTGGCAATGATTTATGTCGAGAAGAATAAAAAGATTCCATAAGTAGCCTAATTGTAATAACTCTGCCTTAGAACAAAACACACCCTCGCCGCCACTCTGTTATGTGGCTGCAACTCGGAAACAAGAGAAGTGATAATGGTGGAGAAATACAAGATTTACCTGGAAATTCAAGACACGGTAAGAGAAGAGGAAGCCATTGGCCTAGTTGTCCTGTACACATGAGGCTCTGCGATGTATTTCCTTCAGTACCTTCCACGAAGTATCCACGTGAACATCTGTCAATAAAATGGTGATATTGAGTCTCATATGACATGTCTTGGCTAAAGCTTTCACTACCTCCTAAAATCTATATCTTTATTTATTCTATTTATCGACTAGCTAATCTTGTAAATCTGACTGTCTCCTTAACGTTTAAAATTCATTGTATACTATGACTCGCTACTTCTTCTCAGGTAGATGAAAACTGTTTTGAAATCTTGATATTTTCCATTGCTAATAACGTTAACTGGTCGCTTTGACTTCAGTGTCCGCTGGGAAATTACTCGAGGCTCGTCTTACCCCCGGTGGTCAGTTCGTGTGTTTCAGCTCAAAATCGTGGATCAAGAAGCTGAATACCTGGCCTACTGGATAAGGAATACCCAGACCAGCAGGAGGAGATGTACCCAACCTGTAACGCCAGTCTCATTTGGCTAACACAGAGACGTTACACTATGGCTATGGGACATCTTTTCAGACGCATCTAAACCTTATGCAAATCTGTTTCATAAACCATATATAGAATACAGTTTGCTATAAAAGGACTATAAATTACAGTATACCTCTTAAATATTTCACTCACGTATACTGAGCTGTTGTGGAAACTGCTGTGTCACCTGTCCATGTACGAGTCATCTTTTGGCCAGGTGAGGGAGGGTCATCTGAACAACCTGTGAGGAAATAAGTCATCACTATCAAGTAATCTACGAGAGCAGAAGTGATGAAGACCTCACAAGATAATTATACAATCTGAAGAAAACACAGCAACTTTATCAGCAAAACTACCAGATAATATTTGTCAGAGGTCATGTAAATCTTGTATCATTGTTAACTAAAGAGTAAGCAACAGTTTAATGATGAAAACAATTAATAAATAACCTGCAACTAACCTATAGGTCCAGGGTACTGACAGACAGCATATGGAGCACGATACTTCATCAGAGGGGCGGGGATAAGAGTGAAGTTTTCTGGTGATGCCACAGAGAGTCTCAGTACCCTCCAGGAATGAGATGTGGTATCATTGAGAGCTTCCATAATATCTACATCTGGTGAATACATTCCTCCCATTGTCCAGTTACCTAACCTAGAATGCAAGAGAAGTTATCTATCAGCTTAATGTCATATTATCTCGTGGCTGATACACATCCTCAGACCATAGACTTATTTTATGGTGCAAAATTAAATTATCTTTTATCATGAATTCATTAAATAAACTTGACTACATTACACGTTCATAATTTCCGCGTTACAGGTGACGTAAAACATGTAACTTTAATGTTCAATTCTTCTTAAAATTATTACGTTCATCAGCAATTTATTCTCATTCTTTAAAAGTTATCGATATCTACTCCTTCCTTATCATACCGCGTCTCATATTACTGGTGACTGTTAGGTTAGGTCAGGTCAGGTCAGGTCAGGTCAGGTCAGGTCAGGTCAAGTTAAAACATTTGTCTTCCTACAAATAATAACATTTAAAATCATTGCAAACACAAGAACAGAGACAGACACAAGAACAGACACAGACACAAGAACAGACACAAGAACAGACACAGACACAGATACAGACACAGGGACTGAAGGTAAATAATACTCACACATTATTGAGTCCCAGGAGCATATCACCACCATAGCTCACCTGTTGAACCAATGGACCATAAACATTAGACCAATACAACCAATTAATATAAATCAACAGGTTACACTAAGTTACTTTCTGAGGTGAGAAACATAAAATCACTCGTACTAAAATAATCTATACAAGAACAAACACTGATTAAAATAATAAAACATTCACTACAACTAAATTTATATGTAAACAGTGGGCCACCATTTAAGTTTTTTCCTCACTTGTAAGGCGAGGTGTGAGAAGACATCATACGTCTGAGGATAGGCAAGTGCTGCGCCCTCACTATTGCACTCTGTCAGGGCTGATAAGAAACTGTATTGTCCAACTATCACTTTGTAACAATGGCCCCTGTAGTCTGAGTAACCGCTGGGACACACAGCTGAGGAGAGAGAGAAATAAATTGTATATTCCGTTCAGGTGATGTGATTAATTCCGTTTATGCTTGTACTGTGTATGTGTGGGTGGAGTGTATTGTTCTAATTGACTGGTTAAAGACCGTGAAATGTGATGCACTTCAATATGGGAACTACAGGGGGGCTTGAGATTATAGATCAGTTTATGAAAGTTGCTGAGTGAGTGATCGAGAAAATGACAAGGTAGAGAGAGGGTGGACAATATTGTAATACAGTTTGGGTTTAGGCCAGGTAGGGGGTGGACAGAGGCAATACCTATGGCAGGGTCGAGGAGTACCTTGTTCGAGTGCATATAGCATTATATGAAGGCTCGATTATAGCGATGTGAGTAAATGGTGAAGAAAAAGGGAGGGGGAGGGGGAGGGGACTAAGGTGAAAGTCGAGGTTCAACAACGGTTCTGTCTCAAGCCTTCTGTTTATCGTGATGTTTGAGGCACCATGGCGAGGTATTAGGACTGGGCTGCCATGGCTTAGTGATGATAGCAGATGGTAATGGAGAAGTTGCGAGGAAATATAATAAACTGAAAGGTGCAATAAACGTAGTTGTTAAGAGTGTTATGCTAGGTATCCTTATCTTAGCCATACCATTGACCAAAAGGTAAATTACTGTATACCTGAGAACCATGAGCCTCTGGCTTTAAATTTGCTGCAGCAGACTTACGTGGTAACATACACACATAATAGAGGTCGCTGCGGTTACATGCCACTGCCTGCATCTGGTCGCTAGTATTAATGGCCAGACACTGTAAACTCTCGTCAACCTGTGTGTGTGATATGAGACGTGAAGATACAAACTAGAATTTCATTTATTTTCTCTAATTATTTATTTATTCAGTTTTAGATAAAAGTGAGATAAACAGAGTGTCTAAAACAGTACGATTTTTCTACCATTGTATTTATAATTATATTTTCCACCCTATACAGTTTACTGACATTAATCCCTAACACTGATATAGCTTCCCTCTGTACCAAAGGTCATAGTCTCACCTTACAAGGGTCAACACAGGAAGGCTCTGGACCAGACCCATTCTTCTTCCACCTGTAGACAACATACAGGGTTAACAGGTAACCTACAGAAATATGGTACAAGTGAAAGAATATTGAAGTTTCACGGAAGAATTCAAGGTATCATTACATATAAAATATTACGGTAATACTGTATTGAAATTCTGATTTATTTAACCCTCTCAATGTGGGTTCGGTATAAAACTAATTTGCTATATCTAAAATGAACTTTTTTCTATCTGTAGTAAATTTTATTCTACCTTTCATTGCTTTTAATAGTGGTAGAGAATGGTGTTAACCGAACTGAGCAATGATGTTATTTCCACATAAGATCTTGTAACTCCTACAATATTTAGTGAATTTGTTATCATTTTAACCCAACTATTACTTCCTATCACTGAACGTTCGAGGTTGTATGGTTGTTTGTACGTGTATTATGTCAGCCTCACCATACAGTGTCTGCGATATAGGAGAGGTCGGTAGCTTCAGTGAAGTTATCAATTAAGGCAAAGCTGGCCAGAGAGGCGTTCAGCTCCCCACACCTGCAGCAGTGGGAAGAACAATTAGTAAGACCTGCAGCAGTGGGAAGAATGATTAGTAAGACCTGCAGCAGTGGGAAGAATGATTAGTAAGACCTGCAGCAGTGGGAAGAATGATTAGTAAGACCTGCAGCAGTGGGAAGAATGATTAGTAAGATTGTTTACACGGTGACCAAGTAGTATGCCAGAATAATTTACTTCAGTCATTATAAAAAACACAGATGGTAATGAAAGTGACGAGACTTATAGCAAAGAGAGGATTCCTTCATCATCCTTCCTATCATCCATGTACAGTAGACACTAACGCATGTGCCAAAGAACAATATTGGTTACTTTAACTCTCTCTCACCAGACACAAGTTACCCCTCAAGGAGAAAATAAAACTTCCTGGTAGAGGTTATGTAAAAAAAACATCTCTTTTAAACAACTTCTTAGATATAAAACAAAAACAAAACCGAACCAGATTCAGATGGTAGAAGATAAGTTGAGGAAACTGACCTGAGGGAAGCACCAACCAGTCCCTGAGGCTCGACGGTGTTGGAGAAGTGTAAACAGACCGTGTCGTTGTCATTCTCAAGGAAGCCTGGTGGACACGCTAACAACAACCAGATAAATGAATTAATTCCATATAAATAATTACTTTCAACGTTCACACACGATATATATAACTGCAATGATTTTAATGATTAAGAAACAGTACCTGACGAGTTAGCAGCTGACTATGATACTCTGACGAGGATTAATATTGCAAGTGAATTTTTTTTATTTAGTAATAGAACATTAAGAAGACCGCAAGGCGTATAATACTCTACTTTTGTTAATGTTAGAACTAATGAAAAGTATATTGGTGGAGCGTCAGTCAAAGCTCAGTCAGGTAATAATTCTCCTTGTTCACTTTGTTTCTCTTCCTTTTGGCTAATTTATGGTATATCAATTCTAATCACAATTCGAGAGGTACAGGTACAGGTGGTACACTGGGGGTATACAATTTGAGTTAAGAAGTAAAAAATATAAAATAAAATAGCCAGAGAAGTCGGCCACAATTGTATCCAAATTTCAGCTTCCTGGCTTAAAAGGTGCCTGAGAGGGAGGGAGTGTACAAACGTTAGCGTGATGGTCACTTGTAGGTCATCCATTAGTTGTGTACACAGTTAATTACCGACTGTTTGTACACTTCACTTTGCTTCACGGAACAGTAGCAAATATATTGCGTGCTGTACATGTAAACACCCAACTGTGTGTTTGTATGTAAGTGACGATCAGCGATATTTACACTCTCAGTATTCTTGGACGATATATATTATACTAAATAAGGTAACGTTTGTGCAGTGTGTGTTAGTGCATAATAGCAGTTGCTCTAATTTTTTCCAGGAAATTGTATAATGGAAAACAAATATTTGAGACTGTTGTGTTGGAGCTTATGAGGAGGTTGTGTTGGGGCGCCCTGAGGTGTCTTTTTCCCTTGGTGGTGTGACTGGTCTTGGTCGGTAAGGCTCTGCTTGTCTGGGTGAGTCTCTGCTATGACACACTCAATACTGGCCTTTCTCTGTTGGCAATATTCTATCAAACATCAAAATTAGCGTTTAATCAATCATTACTTATGTGCCATTATATAGTGAACAATCGGTTTAATTTATACCCCGTTCAAATTACTTTAATTAACCAATTTGAATAAAAAGAAAAAATGTTATATTCCTTTTGTCCATAACGAATTGGCACACAACAGAGGACGGGTTACCTTTATACTTCCTCCGTCTCTTGAAGATCACCCACCAATTCATCTCTTATTCATGTCCCGTAAGTTCCAGCGGAGCATCTGAGCATCTTCTCGTTTCATTTGATCTATTCCTACATCATGACCTAAACCTCCGTCAATTTACGTCCTTAAGTTATGGCAGAGAGAGTGTTTGTATGTGATTCAGATCTCGCTCAGTTTTTGTCACTACGGATAGTTTGAAGTTTGAATACCTGAGTCATTGATGGAAATGAACTCCAGTCTATTATGATTTACTCTTTTGGTTACTTTTATTTGATACACACTCGGCATTATTGATCTCCATAAGTATATACAGTCGCCAGATACGGTAGAGTTTTATGAGATGTGGCGGCTAATACTGTAGGAACGTTTATTTAGCATCCACAGTCTGACTTCTATTGCGAGGTTTCTTTGGATTCTTCCTGGACCACCCGTACGTAAATAGTGTTTAATGTTGTAGTTACTAACGTCCTCTGACAGGTGATAAACACGACCACCCAACAAATATCCTCTTAAAATTTTTATAAAGCTTCGATGGGGGGATAGAAATATAACGCCACACTGCAGGTAGAAATGTAACGCCTCAGTGGGGGGGGGGTACACATATAACGTCACACTGAGGGTAGAAATATAACGTCACACTGAGGGTAGATATGTAACGTCACACTGGGGTGATCGAGACAGTGGATGGAAGGGGGGAGGGTGAATGAGTGTGAAGGAAAGGGTGA